AAAAAAAAAAAAAAAAAAAAGGAAATAGAGAAGTTTGGTTTAATATATATGACAAGCAACCAAAAGGTACACTAGCATTAACCTTTCTATAGACTTTTTTTTTTTTCAGTACAAACCTAAGTTTGATTCTCTCAATTTGAAGCTGCAACTTTTCAGACATTCCTAATGACCTCTTTTGTTGAGGATTATCATCAAATGAAGAGGCTGGCTAAGTCCTGGTTGGTGAGGAGAGGGTGGGCAGGTCATCTATATTCAAAGAGACCCTTCTAGAAACCTTTGCTGAACATATGCAAATGGCACATTAAAGTACTTTTGAATGACAGTCATTTTGCAGGGTTGGAGAGAAGCAAACCATCTGGAAATCCTGAGCTCCATCACATTTGCAAACATTTGTTAAAATAGAAGCTTGAGGAGGCAGACACAGAAATGACAGAGCACAGGAGGAATGAATGAGAAAACGTACCAGCAAACACCACTTTTCGCCGCACTGTGAGATTGACGTGGCCCTGTTTGGCAGCTTGTTGCATAAGCTGGACCACGAGCTGGTGTGATTTTCCGATTACTGGTGTCCCATCCACACAGATTAATTCATCGCCAGACCTCAGGCGGCCGTCTGTATCAGCAGCACCCAGTGGTACGATGTGACCGATATAAATCTGTTGGGTAATGGATGATGGGTGAAACCTTGCCCTCCTGATTGACTGTGATACCCACGGCTGCCTCATTTCTAGGAATAATTCAATTCATTCACTTGGGTCCGCATGCATGCCACCAGCATTTACTGAGCACCTACTGTATAAGTCATTGTTCTAGGTGCAACAACCATTTTGAAATTGAGAAAAGAATAACTGTTTCTTGCTTTGTTCCTGGATGTTTATCTGTGGTATGCTAGTGACACTCTTTTTTTTTCCCCCCTTTAGAAAAATAAATCCCTTTACCCCCCTCATTTATGAACTCTTTTTTCCTTTCCTCTCTACCCAGGAAAACTCCTTTCATAAAATTCTGCTCATTTTAATTCTAACATGACTCTTTTTTAAGGGTTCAGTGCTAGGCCTAGCAATAGGACATGCCTGACGAACACAATCCAATGAATGTATGAGTTCAGCAAGTTCTGGCCTGAGATCCCCATTTCTGTGGGTTTTATTTAGCACCTGAAAGCAGACCACTCTTTATGTTTAATGTCTGCCTGTTATACTTGCCGTTCATTAAACTCGAGCTGAAGTATTTGTGTGTACCTTGCCTTCTCTGTAGTAGGTAATACTACAATCACCTTCGTGAGACACCTGGAGTTTACAAGGGACTTGGACAAAACAGTGTCTAACAATATGGATTCTGCTCCTGGACTCTTGCCAGTGTCTCTGTGATCTTGGGCAAGTTAATTAACCTTTCTGCATTTTTATCTTCTGATTTGAAAATTGGGGATAAACTCATGGATCAGATGAATGAAAAGTACGTGAAAAGGCTTTAAAACAGTACTTGGCACACAGTCGGTGCTTAATGAATAACAGTGGCAGCTGTTATCAAAAAGAAACGAACAACAGACATCTCTAGTTCTCTTTACTCCTATCTAATATGCTGCATTTATTCTAAACCCAAAGAAGCTCAGGCCCATGTTTCCTGACCCCTGTTTAGGGTTCTGTCATGACTCTGATCAAGACAGGGTCCTACTCTCATGTCTGACACGCTGCCTGGTGTCCTCTCTGCGTACTAGCTACCCACCCTATAAAGCCCCCTACTTGCCGGTAGAGGAACAGACTTAGCCAAGGGGACCAGGCCCTGGCTTTATTAGTGGGAGTGCGCCCCACTTCTGCCTTTCTTTTTCCACCCTCAGCTGCCGTATTCCATACACACACACACACACACACACACACACACACACACACCACTATGAACTTTAAGGATCTCTTCCCTTCTTCCTCATGTAAAAAAAAAAAAAACTGCAAAAGCCCAGGAGAATCCCACACTGCTCAGGATGAGAGTCAGAGCTGGGTGTAGCCGTACTCCTGTCTCCACGGCCTGTCACTGTGATCAATTTATGGTGAAGTGTCAGAACACAGCACTTGAAGAAAGAAGCAGACAAGACTCACAGGTTCCCCGGGCTCATTTCCACCTAGAATCCTAAATCCGAATCCAGTCTCTTTTCTCCAGAGGAAGATGTCCTGTTCCTGGTAGTCGGGAACTGCAGAGAGGGGAGAAGGAAGGCAGATTATTTGGCTGGTCAAAGGAATCATGGCCCTAAGATGAGCACAAGTATAGGACCGAGACTGCCAAGGCTTGAGCAGATGAAAGCGTTTCGACACAGGCAGACAGACAGAAGGATCTAGACAGGTGAGTAACAGACGACACGGGCACAAGAAACAGACCAGTCACTGGGCCCTAAGTTCTTCAAAGGACTATCACTGATGATTCCTAACCAAGTCCACACCGTTAGGGCCACCTAAGAGAGGGGTTGGCATTGACTGCTTTTCTCAGTATCGTTGTAAGGGAATTAAGTAAATTAAAAAGCTTTATCAACTAGGGAATGGAAGAAAATGACTTGGGTTAAAAAGTGTTTCTGATTGATTTGTTTTTTATTTTTTGCTTTTTATGTACCAGGGGTTGGACCGGGAAGGTCTACCACTAACCTACATCCCTATCCCTTTTTGGGTTTTGAAACAGGATCTTGCTAAGTGACCAAGGCTGCCCTCAAACTTGCGATCCTCCTACCTCAGACTCCTGAGTTGTTGGGATTATAGATGTACATTACCGTGCCCGATTCTAATTTGTGTTTTTTATTTATTTTTTTAATTGTAGATGGACACCATACCTTATTTTATTTATTTTTTTAATGTGGTGCTGAGGTCGAACCCAGGGCCTCCTACGTGCAAGGCAAATGCTCTACCACTGAGCTACAACCCCAGCCCCTAATTTATGTTCAAGTCACTTTTTTCCTCCTTAAGATAATCAAGATGAGTAAAACTCATAATTTGATTTGTTAGATCATATTCACCAAAACATTTACTCTCAAGGATCGAGGGTAGCTCAGTGGTAGAGTGCTTTCCTATTTGCCAGGCCCTGGTTTTGCTCCCCAGCTCTGGAAAAACAAAAACAAAAAACCTAGTACTTCCAAATGCAAAATTCACAAGGTTTTAAGACCATCACCGAAAAAGATAGTCAACCTTTCATGATGACAAAAAAATTCCATGCTGGGCACGGTGGCACACACCTGTAATCCCAGAGGCCTGGGAGGCTAAGGCAGAAGGATCATGAATTCAAAGCCAGCCTCAGCAGCAAGGACCTAAGCAACTCAGTGAGATCTTGTCACTAAGTAAAGTATAGTATAAAGGGCTAGGGGTGTGGCTCAGTGGTTAAGGACCCCTGGGTTCAATTCCCCAGTACAAAACCAATCCAGATTAACCAACCACAACTCATTGTTAAAATGACTACTTTATTCCAGAATCTGCCTATATTTCAACATTGAAAGTACTCATGTATTACCCAATAACTTGATATCTTATGTTTAGCACTCAGTAATGCTTAAGGGCTTTAAAATAAAAACATCATTTTTAAAAAGAAATTTCTAGAAAAATAGATGCCTACTATATATGAAATAATTCTATATACCACTCTGTTCCTTCACTAAGGTAATAAAAAGGGCTATTTTCACTTAATTTTTAAATATGCTCGAATGTATACATAGGGTATTTTTTGGCCTATAAAGTGACATCACTTTTATTTAAAGAGAACATCTATAATTTAGTTGTTGTGAATCCTTATGGAGATTTCAAAGTATTGTTCTGCGTACTTTCTGGTTTGTTTAATTAATGGGATTTAGGGCTTAAGAAGTGAGTAGTGAAAATTTTAATCTTTCCCCAAGTTTGTACAGTAGGATATAGAAATGAAGAATGTGGCTATGTAGTTTTCTGGTCAGCAAGAGTGTCCCTTTACAGGTGTAGAGTGACTAAATACACCAGGAGGCAGGGAACTGTCAGGCAGGTACAAGCCAGAGGATTCTGAATCTCTTATTTTCCCTGAGCTAGCTGCACGCTCTGGCTTTACACAGGTGCTTTTCATCCAATCCTCTTTTATTGTAATTGCTGTAGCTAAGCTGCCACGGAACACAAGCTCGGCGACATCATAAGATCCCTGTAAAAGCAATTGGAGAGTAATATTGAGCACACTAAGGTAACTGTATATATGTATGTATATATCTGTGCAAGTCGATGGGTAAAGGGTATTTGCTGTAATAGCCTCATTGAAACAACAAATTAAGTCAAGCAGCATCTGGTCTTTGGTTCACTCAAGTAGGAGGGTTATTACCCTAATAGAGCACTGCTCTTTGCCAGCCTCAGGGCCTATCTGAAGTCCGCCAAGGGCTAGGAGGCCTTTCTGGGGACAGAGAAAGGGCCTCTGCAGAGACCTCCAGCCCAGATGCATTTTTCTTAGCATCACTTAACACAGGGACATTTGCCCACCCCACAGGGACACCAAATGGAGCCTCCTCTTGCCTGATGTTGCACACTTAGGTGTCAGCCATCAAGGTAGGGTGGGGGTGGCTGCAGATTCAGGCTTACCACACAGCTCAGTCCCCAGAGAGAGAGCATTTGCTTCCTTTGGAGAATCAATGGGAACATGGCAAATCTACTCTGAGAGTTCTCCGTTGAAAAGAAAGCCGCCCAGTGACACTCGGGATGTTAAAGACACCACCAATGAGTCAGGAAACACAGACACAAACACGGAACCCAGGACAAAGCAAGTCTTTTGGTACTTCAGCTTTAGCATCTTAACAAATGGACTTTTCCACCAATGAAGTGTCATTTGCCCAAATATATACCTTTGGTGATGAATCAATGCTGAAACTTATTATGGGCTCCCCAAATCTCTCCTCTGATGCCACTTCATAGAGGTACTGAGCTTTCTCAACTGCTCACTCAAAAGGTTTAATTCTCTATTTTAGGCAGATTCTATTAGAATTAAGTGAGGTTTTTTGGTTCCTGAAATTGAACTCAGGAGCACTCGACCACTGAGCCCTAGCCCTAGCCCTGTTTTGTATTTTATTTAGAGACAGGGTCTCACTGAGTTGATCAGAGCCTCGTTAAGCTGCTGAGGCGGCCTCAAACTTACGATCCTCCTGCCTCAGCCTCCAGAGCCACTGGGATTATAGGCATGAGCCACCGTGCCCAGCTAGAATTAAGTTTGTAATAAACCAGTGGGGTAAGAGCCATTTTTATATTAATATCACTTTATTTTTATCTTAGTGAGGCTAATCACATAGAACTAAGAAAACCTTGTCCAGTTGTCTTATTTTTAAGTCTTGCCTGGGAAACCATCTTAGCAGTTACTCTCCTTTGGGCAATAGCAATAACAACTCAATAAAGCACTCAAAAGACTTCCTTTGATAACTGGGGACAATGGGGGAACCAGGTTCACAGAGACCCTCCTGATGTCCCCATGGACAGAAACACAATGTCGAAGACGTGTACCGTGCCTCATCTCATCTTGTCAATAGTTGACGCTAGGCCAAGGGGACAGGCCACTGGCTTCCCTTCAGGGCGCATTACCCCCCCTCCCTTTTCTAACTTTCTGACCAGGTCCCCAGACGGATGGGAACACGGAACAGGATGAACGATAATGGAGAAATACAAGTCCACAGCAGGGTCCTTACTCTGACATTCTCCAAAATTCGTGGAACTGATTTCTCTCTCTCTTTCCCCCTTGCTCAATCCCGATGCAGGCGAAGGTGACATAGCTGGAATATTAATTTCACAGTTTTGCAAAGCTTCATGTACATTCTCTGTTAGTTCATTTCAGCTCAGTTGTGATTGATGAGGGATGGTGCCCCCTCAGTACAGTGGGTCATGGCTGCTATGGATTTTAAGGGCTATGATTTGATGGTTTTTCTTTTTTTTGTATTTTGGCTTCTTTTTTTCATGATGCTTTACTTGTCAAAGAGCTAGAATTTCTAATTGTACCACGGAGAGTTCCTATGACTCCCTTTAGCACCTTAGGCTCTTCACATTTAATTAGACTCTAAAATACATTCTCCGATGAACTTGTTTCAATCATGTCTCAATCTACAGAAGGTTCATCTAAACCCTCATTGCCTTTTGAGAAATAAAAAATTGGTATATCTGCGACACTCATATTTATTTAGGAGTGTATGAAGTTCCTGACGGAACTCCTCCTTGTACTAAGGCCAGTCCAGGCGAATTTTAGGCAGTTCAAACCAGAATAGTCCCATGCTCACAGACACACAATTGTCAAATCTGCCCCAAGATCTGAACAAACACATAAAATAGGCATCATTATGACAGTGCTTAAAATCTAGAAGTACTCATGAGCTCCTTAGACATCATGATGAAGGAGCTCAGTCATCAATTCCAAACTTGTAAGCAAGTCACTCCAAAGCAGGACAGGTTGACAATGTTGGTTGATAGGAGCACTTTGAGCATTTTTTTTTTCTTTCTTTCTTTCCAAACTATATTGCAATTAGGCAAAATTTCAATGGCAAGCTTTAAAAATTCTTTGGAAATAAATGCTACTGGATGCTAGCCAATTTTCCCGAACATTTACTAATAAGATTGTGTCAATGTCATGACATGTGCACAATTAGTATGTTATCTGCAGAAAATACAACATGGCTTTTAAAGGACTTTAATGCTTGTCTTTGTTTTTAAAAAAACATGGAAACCCTTCAAAGGGATTCATTAACATCTGTAATTCAGACGGATTCATTTTGACAATGCTGTTTTGGCATTGAAGAATATGGTATTTTATAAAACAGTTAGACCTATGAAGCAAGGGGATCAAAATGTGTTTAGCTGGCGCAGTGGTGCCATCCAGCAGCTCGGGAGGCTGAGGCAGGAGGATCACAAGTCCAAAGTCAACCTCAGAAACTTAGCGAGGCCCCCAAGGAACTCAATGAGACCCTGTCTCTAAATAAAATATTAAAAAGGGCTGGGGATGTGGCTCAGTGATCAAGAACCCCTGGGTTCCATCCCCAGTGTCAAAAAATTTTTAAAAAAAGCAAAATGTGTTCATCTGTTCATCTTCAAGCTGCTCTTAACAATAAAATTAGACATAAGGGGAAGATATTCTCAACCAAAAGGGGATGATCTGGTACAATTAAGGAACTGCTGTAGACTTCTGATGTTTTTTCCTGGAGTACTCTGCTCATTTCACTATGCAGGGAGAGGCGGGGAATCAAGCTACCCAGGGCATGCCCTGGATTTTTGTTATGGTTCTTAAAAGACAAGACACAAAATAACCCAGGACAATGGCAGAAACTGATCTAGGATAAAAAAAAAAAAAAAAAAAGTCCTGATTCCAAGACAAGACTGACTCGAGTTCATTCATTCATACTGTGAAAAAGAAAAAAAAGAAACTGTGACAGCTACAGAACAATTACCACGGGTGGGGGAAGTGTCATCATTTCTCTCACTTAGCAGGAGGAGAAAATCCATGGGAATCTTCACATCAATTAGGCTGCTGCTATCGCTCCATTAGGGAGCCTGCAATCACCACAACCAAATGGATTCTCATTTGGGCTGTTCTATCTGATTCCTTCGATGTTAAAGAAAGTGAAGGCGCAGAACTGAAACCATCCCAAATATTTCATTCCAGCTGCCATTTGAGCCATTTCAATGCTGACAGCAGCTGGTTATGGTCACATTAGATATTATTTCATTCTGGTGGAAACTTTCATAAAAATTGGATGAAAGACCCAAATCCTAAGAAATGCTGTTCCCATCTGGGTGAAAACGAGTTGGAGCCTCCTATCGAACAGGTGCAGGAGAATGGTCTTGCCAATGCAGGAGGGCGCTGCCAGCCCTTCAAAGCGTGATCTATTTTATCACAGTGAGATTCGTACATGGAAAACTCAATCATAAATGTGTACTGTACTGAGAAAAGCAGGAGCGTGGTCAATAAAGCAATAATATCTCAACATCCCCTGAAGCTGGGCATTGATTGGAGGAGTCTCATGGTTAGAGAGGAATGTGTAGGGAATATGAAAATAGTCCCCTTTGGAAAACATTCTTTAGTAGTGTTTTTTTTTCTTATTTAAGTGAAATCATTATAATGAGGGAGGAGACTTCGTGAGGATGGACCCCAGGCTCTTATTAGTTGAGCATCTCTAATCTAAAAATCTGACATGCTCCAGAATTGGAAACTTTTTAAATGCCAACACAGCACTGCAAGTAGAAAGTCCAACACCACCAAACTTAAGTTTCATGTGCAAAATTATTAAAAATGTATAATATTACTTTCAGGGTATGTGTATAAGGTACATATGGAATGCAAATGAATTTTATGTTTAGACTGGGATTCTAGCCCCAGGATATCTCATTATGGAAATGCAAATATTGCAAAAGGTGAAAAATTCCAAAATCGGAAATACTTCTGGTTGCCAGCATTTTGGATCAGTGTTAGGGTTGGCATGTGAGGTGATCCCTAAAAGCTCACATGTGAGACAATGCAGGAAGGTCCAGAGGAGACATGACTGGGTTGTGAGAGCCTCAACCCAACCAGTGAATGGACCCTGATGGGATTAACTGGGTGGTGGCTGGAGGAGGTGGGTGTGGCTGGAGGAGGGGGCATTGGGGGCGTGGCTTTGGGGTCTCTATTTGTCTCTGGAGAGTGGAGTCTCTCTCTGCTTCCTGATCACCATGTGAGCTGCTTCCCTCCACCACACTCTTCCTCCATGATGTCCTGCTTCCCCTCGAGCCCTGAGGAATAGAGCCTGCTGTCTATGGACTGAGACCTCTGAAACTGTGAGCCCCCAAGATAAACTCTTCCTTCTGTATAATTGTGCTGGTCAGTTCCTTCAGTCACAGAAGTGATAAACTAAGACAGCCAGGGATGCCCAGCCTGTGCTTGCCCCTCCTGTGTGTGAGGGAGGGATATTCCAAATGGAACCTCATTCCCCTCAGCCTGGTCTCTGGGGGACCTTAGTGATATCTTTCTAACCTCTGCACCATGACCTCTATGGGGGCCCTGGCTGAGAGGTGACCACAGCTGTGGCTGGAACTATAGCCATGGTAGGGGTGACAGGGACAAAGGGACAGGCAAGTATGCTCTTCTCTCTTCCAGTCTCTCAGGCCCTTCCACCCTACGTTCCCTCTCCTGACAGTCTTTCCCACTCCATGCGAAAAAGGGAAAAGGAGGGGCAGAGAGGTCATGGGTGGGCCGCCCCTGATCAGGAGAGGATGTCAGAAGTTGCCACACTCCCAAAAAAGGCTCAACGGGCACCATCTAAAATTCAAACTTTGTAAGAACTTTCACCATTGAGATAAATGAGTATCATTTATGGTGAATAGCTTTTGGAAATCATTTCATAATAAAGAGGAAAAAGTTAAACAGAAAGGGTTTAACAGGCTTATCAGAGCCAAGAAGTTACAGAGTACACCATCACTAACTTATTTTTATAGGAAAGATAAAAACCAAAGAAAACACTTACTCACTATACAAATAATTAAAGCCTAATTCACCCCCTCCTTTTTTTTTTTTTTGGAGGGCATGTTTAGAAAAACTGAGAATGATTAAAAAAAAAAAATTACCAGTATTTTTCAAAACCAAGTGACCACAAGTAAGCATTTAATTTCTCCTCGTTACCTCTAAAATCATATTTTCCTCTTACCACCCATACATATTTAGGTTCTATTATCTATCAGACTGTCTTGCAAGACTCCAGCTCAGGTAAGAATATAGGAGATGGCCATTCTTATCTGCCCCTTCTTTCAACTACAGAGAAAAATAATGTGTTTTTCTCCAGGCTGGGGATTGGATGAGCATCCCTTTCTACCCTGTTTCCCAACCTGGAGACATAATGGAGCCTCCAAATGGAGATCCAGCAGACGGTGCTTTCTGAGGAGCCTGGTCCTCATCCTGATATACCCTGGTCCAGTTTACACTCGGAGCCTTGCTGTGTTGGAGGGGCCCGGCCCAGGGGAGGGGATTGGGGCAGGCAGCCCGGGGGGCACTACTCACGTCGGTTTTCATACATGCTCCTGGACTGGGCCCAGATTTTAAAAGGATCTGGTTTCTTCTGCCCAGAGCTGTCGGTCTGATCTGGAGCGGGAGCCTCGGTAGGTGGGTACTCGGGGAGCACCTGCGTGTTGTGACTCGGGGACGCCGTGTGCAGGCTCCGGTGGCTGGAAGCGCTGTGTTGAGAACTACTCTGGCTGTCTTTCCTTTCCAGTGGTTGCTGAAAGTAAGCAAGAGATCATTGCCAGTTTACCAGTGGGCATTTTCCCACCAGCTCGGCTCTGTTGGGCACTTTTGCAAACACCGTGCATAAATACATCAACAAGCTTTGGGCTTCCTCCTTCTCCAGTGAGTGCAGGATGCAGATAAATCCCCAAGTGATTGGCAGACAGATAGAGGGGCAGGCCAGACAGAACGACATAATCACAAAGCACACTGTTCTCTGGGCTGCAGCGGAAAACAAATCTAATTCTCATCATAGGTTCTGAGCTAAGACACTGGGCTGGTTTACTGCAAGATGGATCGGCTTTGACCTCCTCATTTCTCGACAAAAACATGTGACACAAAATACCAGGAGTGGTTTAGCCATAGGGTATAACATCTAGAAGAAATACAATCAGGGCTAAAAGGCTCCTTGGGGTACCATATGTTGCATCTTTTGATAATAAAACACACAAGTCCTCTCTAAAGGTTTGCCATCAGTTCTTCTAGAATAGGGAGAAGATGAGGGATGTAGCTCAGTGGTCTAGCATGGGTGAGGCCTGGACTTCAATGCCCCATACTGCAGAAGCAAACATGATGATAATGCACCAATTAAAAAAAAAATGGAAAGAAAAACCAACCAACAAACAGACCAGGAGAAACAGAAAAAACATGCTTAGTTATATGAAGACTGATAGTTAAAGGTTAAAAAAAAAAATGCTATCATGTGAAAAGCTTTCATAATTCTTAGCTAATCAATTTTTCAGATGTGGTTTAAAAGTCAAGACCACTGGTGCATGCCTATAATCCCAGCTGCTCAAGAGGCTGAGACGGGAGGATCAAGAGTTCAAAGCCAGCCTCAGCTACTTAGTGAGGCCCTAAGTAATTCAGTGAGACCCTGTCTCTAAATAAAATACAAAAAAAGGGCTGGGGATGTGGCTCAGTAGGTAAGAGCCCCTGGGTTCAATCTCTGGTACCGAAAAAAAAAAAAAAAAGCTCAAGACTGAACTTTATATATGGTTGATTCCTGGGGCATCAGCCTCCTTAAACTTGCAACTTATCCACAGTCTAAGTAGCATTTGCAGGGGAGTTCCAATTAAATTTTAAGAGAACAAGCAAGTTCCTGTTCATTAAAACCAGCTAAGCAGAGGCCCTTCCCATTTCATGAAACGCTCTTTGAATGGCAAGGGAACACAGGACAAAACCTACCGAGAAGAAAAATGATGGGTGGAAAATAAAAATAATTTAGCTCCTATTTTCTTTAATAAAAGACTGTGGTAATTCCAGGTATTCTGTTTCCTCTATTCAGAATAAAACTCCTAGAATCCTGCCTCCTGTGTAAGAGATGTCACATCACCATAGTTGTGTGCTTGAGCATCATGGTAAAGGGGGAGAGGAAGGGCATCTTCATCCTCTCTAATGGATCCTGGGCAGCTTGTGCTTTTTAAAGGAGTTTATAAGATCTTCAACCTCAAGCATCTCAGTTCCCTCAACTCTTCCATCAGGTGTTATCATCAGAGACATCTGAGGACCGTATCCTACACTTGGGGAAACTGTGAGCGAGGCTTGATTCCATCTGATCCAAGGGGATGCAAAACTGAAGACACCAGGAAAATGCATTGGCCTTTGGGTGGCGACAAACACCACCGCCAACACCACAACACCCTGTTCTCACTGATGATGACGAGCTCAGCCCAGAGGTGGAAGGATCAGCATTCCAAGCCCTAGAACAGAACTTGGACCCCACCCTCTTCCAAATGTCCTCAACCACTGTGCATTGACTATCAGGCCAGGTGTCGGACCTCTGTCCTAAGAGGTGATCCCTGTCCTCTAGCTCCCCAGAGCAACAGTGAAGATATGAGGGTGAGAAAATGACCAAGACAGATAAGACACCCCTTCTCTTTTGCATGCCAGTAGGGATATGTCTTTCTTTTCATGTGTCCCCTAGAAAGGTATCAATATTATAAACAACCATGCACAAGATCAGCACACTGTTGGTGTGCACACACACCACAATATGTAGAAAAAAACGTGGAATTATGGCTGGGTGCGGTGGCGCATGCCTGTAATCCTAGTAGCTTGGGAGGCTGAGGTGGAGGATCTCAAGGCAATGTCCACCAACCATGATTTCCTTTTTGGGTGGGTACTGGGAATTGAACTCAGGGGCACTCAACTACTGAGTCCCATCCCCAGCCCTTTTTAATATTTTATTTAGAGACAGGATCTCACTGAGTTGTTTAGTGCCTTGCGTTTGCTGAGGCTGGCTTTGAACTTGAGATCCTCCTGCCTCAGCCTCCAGAGCTGATTAGGTTACAGGCATGCGCCACTTTGCCCAGCCTGCTATCTCTTTTGTAAGGTTACTCTGGGTCCCTGCACTACAGCCTTCTTGGACCATTGGCCCCTTGAAACCTAACTTTAACCTCTTCCACTGTATCTTTCCCCTGAACTGGAGAAAAAGACCTTTCCGGCAACCCTACCCCACTGAGAGAGTGTGAGGAAAGTGCTGGAACTTCCTGCTGCAGAGAATGCCCCTGTGCTTTTACCCGCTTACTACACACGTGTGCTTGCCACACGAGGGCTTCTAGGACCCTAAAATGTCCATACAATAAAACTCTAGCCTGGAAGATTGATTGATTGATTGATTTAAGGACTGGGGATTGAACCCAGGGTGCTTAACCAACTAGTGACATCCTCAGCCCTTTTTTATATTTTATTTAGAGACAGGGTCTTGCTAAGTGGCTCAGGGCCTTGCTGAGGCTGGCTTTGAACTCGCCAAGCTTCCTGCCTCAGCCTCCCAAGCTACTGGGATGACAGGTATGTGCCACTGTGCCCAGATGACCTGGAAGATTTGAATCTCTTTAACTAGAGAGGTGACCTCACCATAAAGAGAATGTACATTTGGAATCCACTGGCAAGGCCTGGATCATTTTTCAAATTATAATAGCCTTTCTCACCTCCCAAATAAGTGACTCATTTAGCTTCAATTTAATACACAATGACAGATACAATTTGGAATAAGGTTGCAAAACTGCTTCTCAGTTGAATTGTACCTTGGAGTCCCTTTTAAATGTCATCTAAATCTTGTCCCTCTATTTGGCAGAGAAGTACAGGTGCATCGTGAGAATGCGCTCTCCAAACGGTGCCACCACTAAACTGCCATTGGCTGGCATGCACAAGTGGCCTATTGTGGCCTAATGTGGGCTAAGTACAGAGTATTCTGGAAGAATTTTACGTTTCTTCTTTGGTAAGACTTAACTTTATGATCCATCTCAAAATCATTTAAATGATTTGAAAATGCATTTGAAGATAGATTTGAAAATGGATTCAGTATCAAAACTCTTGTTGGCACTCTGGGATATACATACTTAACTATGCTGTGTGTATGTAAAATTTTCAAATATGATTTTTATTTTCTGCGAGCATGCTAATTATTTATGATGCTGTCTTTTATCTGGTTACGCCCTGGATTGTTCAAAAGAAAAGCTACATTTACATATATATACATCTATCTCCCAAAATTAAAGTTAACTTGTATGTCTTTTCTAGATTACCTCCCTAAGGGCTTGGGACTTGAAAGTAAACTCAGTTTTGAACTAGCTACATTTACATATATATACATCTATCTCCCAAAATTAAAGTTAACTTGTATGTCTTTTCTAAATTACCTCCCTAAGGGCTTGGGACTTGAAAGTAAACTCAGTTTTGAACTAGTGACAGCCTGGGACCAGGTTTGCATTACTGTGATTGTCTTTTGCCTCATTCTCTTAGGTGAGACACCAGCTTTTATTTTATTTTTTGGTATAGGGGATTGAACCAAGGAGTGCTCAACCCCTGAGCCCCATCCCCAGCCCTTTTTTT